CATAGGACCTTGATTTCACTCATAAGTCATTTTTGCAAGGCATGGCATGACATATGCATTTCACGGGACTCTTCTGAAGAGAGAGAGTGTGAAGTGGGAAGTGTTATCTTTGATGGCATCTGGTTGTTGTTTGCAAGTAGGCTATGATTATGAAAAACTTTTTAAAAAATTTAAAAAATTCAGAAAGGAGATTGTGAGGAAGACAAGAAAAGACCATGTAGGGGAGTTATCTAGCCTACTGTCAGCGCAGATTCATGGTAAAGAAGCGCTGGTTGTTAACCTGCACCTGTATGTAGGTTACTGAGGCTAGGAATAGAAAGAAACATGGATGGACTTACTTTTTTAATGAAAGTTAGAGTATTCATGTAAAAATACAGAAAATACGTCATATAATTATTCAAGTGGTCAAGTGCAAAGACCTCAAGTGTGGGTGTTTGGACAAGGCAAGAATAGTGTGAAAACTGATAAGGGAAATTATTTTAGTTTTAAGATGTGGGAAGACATCAGATGTGAAATGGCTTAGTAATGTTTATTTTGGCATATCTCGAAAGTATCATGGAAAGCAAACTGCAGACAAGCAACGCTATTGCTTAATACGCAAAATCTAGTAGGTGGAAAGTAGGGGTGCGCCGATTGATCGGCTACCGATCGCTATCGGCCGATAATTACGTTGGATGATTGATCTGCGGTCTCTAAAAGGCCGATCTAAAAAAAACGATCTCAAGCTTGATGATGCTGCCGTGAGAGGTTTGGCAGCGGCACCGTCTCAGTCTCTGTCCGGCACAGACAATAATTATTGCGGGTGAAATAATTATAATGCTGAAGGTGAGGTACTCACCTTCACGTTTTCTTCATTAAATAACTTATAAAGTAATTTGAAAACCTTGTGTGAGACGTAATCTCACAAACAGCGTGAGTGAATCACCGCACGTGCGCTCACTCTTTCTCTCTCAAAATACACAAATGGCTTCAAATCACCACATCGTTTAACCATTCAGCGCTCGCGCGCTCTCCTGGAGACCGTGCGCTCATGCACACTCGCAGCGCACACACATAATGCCAGGTTCACATTACTCCGTTTGCAGTGCGTATGTGGTGCGTATTTTTTCCGTGCCCATGTTAATGGATTAATAAAGCGTGCACACTGCAGACGGTTGCGGTCCGGCAGTGCGTTCCACGAGCGCTAAATTAAAGTAACAGCGCATTGTTTGCAGTAAATATGAACATGGATTGACAAGTAAATGTAGTAATTACACCATAAATGCATATTATTAAAGTCTACTGTGTTTCACAATCAACACATATGGCTTTTTGGCTAGGTTTAAAGGAAAAGAGCACTTTTAGATCAACAAGGCAATAATAGATGGCACTCGTGGAGGTAGGAAAAGGTAGGAAAGTTCTTTATGGAACCGCAGGATTGCTTGTAATAAAGACTATTTCTGTCAATGGTAAGTTTGTGATAACGTAAGAAAAGCAGTTTAAATGTTTTGACACTTGCTTGAGCAACTTAATATATAAATCTAGAAGTAAATGCAAAAGTAAAAAGCATTGAATAATGTGTTGTTTATATTTATTGGGCCTCATTCATGAAACACGAGTAGAACGAATTTTTGTGTAAATCGTTCGTAAAGCTGTTCTGACGTAAATTTTCGGATTCATGAAAGTTTTCTTATTTTCAAAATGTTAGTTGGTACGAAAGAAATTTACACCTGCTCCCTACCACGTGTAAATGGTGCGTAAAACGTTCTTCTGTGTTCATTTAGGCAAACTGATGACACTGAATTTTGTCACTTTTTACCCAGCCGTCCAATCAATGGAGGAGGGCCGGGACAAATACACTGACCAATCATCGTACTTGTACAACAACTGAACAACAATAGAGAAGTTCATATCGCTGGTTACTGAATTTTTATATTCAGTAATATTCTTAAAATGAGATACTAGTAATATGTTACTGCCGTGGATATTTCAAATCATAGCAACCAAAGCGTCTCTCCGGCTCAGCTAGAAAAACGCTGTGCCGCCAAAGCGTCCAGCACCACCAGCTGGTCGTTTTAAGAAGAGCGCCTGACAGTTTTTCAGATGGCTAAAAACGCTTGTTTGGACACATGTTGTTGAATATTTATTGTTAGGCATATGGCCTATTAGTGTTTTTAGCATTTATGCAATATACTGGAGCCAAACATGAGAAAGTAGACCAGTATATTCCATTGTGTTCCTGGACACGCAATTTACGTAGCTGTAATTCATAGGCGGGGATTATGCTAATTGTAAATGAGCGTGCATGAGCGCCCTATTTACGAATGATTGGAATTCATTAACATACACATGTTTAACTATCAAATCGAAGTGTTTGTGAATCCAGAGGAGAGTTTTCGGGAAGGCCCGTTTTACGCGCAAATTACTCAGAATTTACTCCTATATATACGAATGTTTCATGAATGAGGCCCATTGTGTTTAAACATGTCTGTGTATTACTGTACTGTGTAAAAAAAAAAAAAGAATTGCAATGCTGAAAAAGCATGTTCAGTGACAATGTTTAAATTTGAAATCAAAATAATGGATAAATGTTGTGTTTGTGGTAAACAGCCACGGATCAGAAGCAGACTCCTGTGAAAGCTGCTTCCCCTCTCACAAGAGTCACCTAGAGGGGAATTCCCCCCATTTTCAAAAATGAAATTCAGGCCTTGAATAAATGTCTAAAAATTCTGATTGGAGTATCACTATAAATAGTTATAAATTATAAAAAAGAAGGCTTTAAAAAGATCGGTATCGGTGATCGGTATCGGCAGATACTGCTTTCTGTGATCGGTGATCGGCCTCAAAAACCCTGATCGGAGCACCCCTAAATAACACTGATTGATATACACATTTAATTGTTACATGGCTTTGGAACATGTCACTCTGATTGGTCCTTCACTGTATTATTTTGGGTTTATTCACATTATATTGACTGTATATCTGTATATAGAGTTTATATTTGAGTAACATCAGCATTAGAATGTTAGTTTGATCTGGGCACAGTACTAAAATACATCGTCGACCAAGAGCAAATTGCACGCTCCATCTCTTTTCATTTCTCAGAAGTAGGGCTGTGCAAAAAATCGAATGCGATTTTCATGCGCATCTCGTCAGTAAAGCCGCTTCTGGTGATTAGTAGTAAATCTCCAGCACGTGCTTTCAGATGGAGTGGCATTTACTACGCAGAGCCATAGTTCATTGACAAGCTACACAAAATCGAGTTCAAAATCCCAGGCGGTTCATTGCCGATTATGAATGCGATTTTGTGTAGCTTGTCAGTGATCTACGGCTCTGTGTAGTAAATGCCGCTCCATCTGAAAGCACGTGCTGGAGATTTACTACTAATCACCAGAAGCGGCTTTACTGACGAGATGCGCATGAAAATCGCATTCGATTTTTTGCACAGCCCTACTCAGAAGCGCTTGACTGTTGAAGGATACGGTCTAAAAGAGTTTGTGGTCTTTGCATTGTCATTGTCATTACGTACATATTTAGCAAAGGATTACTGCTGTATAATCCTTAATACTCAGTGCTGCCTTTGTTTACCAGTAGAATGATTTTGGTCAAAGATTTTGGCACAGTTTGTTCATGACATCTGTTTAGAACAAATAAACACAAATTATGCATTTCATGCCTTGCTTCTTTTTACAGCAGTTTCATGAGGTTAAATGAAACGCATCGAAGCTAAATGCGTAGTTGCCATTGCTGTGTGCTGACTCTGGGTAAAAAGGTGAAGTAATTAAAAAATGCTTTACTTCAGCATGCCCTTTGGACCTTATAAAATTAATGCAATTTTCTTACGCTGTATGTCCATGTTTATAGTCTGGTAAGTTCCCTGTATGAAAATTGCTCTATTCTCTCTCGTCTCAGAGGAAATGGAGTGGTCTTCCTGTTTAGGTGTGATTGTTTGTCTTACACAGTTGGATTTGCGCTATTCAGCAGCTCTGTTTATTAATTCTATGTGTAGTGATTTTACTTTCATAATAGGCGTCATTTGCTTTTATCCTACTAAGGTACAGTATGTGTAAATCTAAGATATGCTGTCCAGCTGTTATAATGAGGGTATACTACTGAATCCCTGTTGTGAAATCTCATACCACACTAATGACACACTTCAGAAGGAACCAAACTTGCTGCTAGATGAATACTTCTGCTTACTTCCCAGAAGTATTTTTACCTCTTATTCGATGCTGACTTACTGGGATGACTGGTGTGACATGATGTCCAGATCAGGCAATGTTTAAAAAAAGTAAACTGTTTTTACAAAAATATAAATGCATACTTTGTTAGTACAAGAAAATTGTGAACAACTGAGACAGCAGGGAACAATCAGACTGAGAATCTTAGCCAAAATAGCTTTATTTTTGCATTTGACATGCATTTTAACATGGATCTTCATGCAAACTTTTAGTTTACAAAAACCTTCAGACTCTTAAACACAGTTTCGGAAAATTAAACATGTCACGCAACTTAGGAACTTAATACACTACAGCATATATAACGGACTGTCTTTGAAAACACTGTTTTCCAGGTCACTGCAAAATCTCTAGTTGATTTATTCTAGTTGACTTAATTTTATCTTGAGCAACAGTAAAAGCACATTCATTTGACTAGAATAACTGTACTAGAGAAACTCTACTTCCATCACTCACAGCCTGTTTTTTTTATGTCTAATTAATTATGGTCTCTGCTCCAAATTAAATCTATTGTCTTTTGATCAATATTAATTGTCTCTGAACCCCGTTGAAAACAGTTGTTTATTTATGCAGTTGTGTATATATGCTATAACTATTATTTTTAATTGCGATGTCTTCTGTAGCCTGGGATATACATAATACTGCTCAGGTCTTGTTGCTCATAATCCACCCATTTCTTGTACTGAATTTACATTAGTATTTACATCATGCTCTACAGACATAATGCTGTTGTAAATATTCCTGCAATGCCACTAATTTGCTTGTCCTGCTGTCCACCTTCAGCGCCGTGGCTGAGCTGAACGATGGTGAAGCCAGACATTCACACTCTGGCCCACCACCTGAAGCAGGAACGGCTGTACGTGACGTCAGAGAAGCAGCTCATCCAGCGGCTTAACAACGAAGTGCTCAAGACCGCAGAGAGGCTCTACCGTGCAGCATGGATCGCCAAACAGCAAAGGATCAACCTTGACCGCCTCATCCTCACCAGGTGACTGCACTCCAGACAAGTAAATCTAGCAGGCTCTCCTCGTGATTTTCTTTCATGACTCATTACCTGATCAACTGAACCGGAAGAATCGCTAAGATCACAATTGCGGATTATCTCAGTGGTTGAAAATAGGGAACGAGCCAAATGAGCATTCTGGCTTGGCAAGTTCTGACAAATTTTTTTTTTTTTTCATTCTAAACTTTAAAAATATAAAGTTTTTGTCATCATTTACTCACCCTCATGTTGTTCCAAACCCGTATGAATTTCTTTCTTTGAAAAAAGAAATATAAATATAAAATCCTGGATTCCTGTTCACTTTCAATTTATGGAAGAGAGAAGCCTGTACATTCTCTAGAAGTTCTTTTTTTGTGTTGAATGAATCAATTAAGTCATACAGGTTTGGAACATCATGAAGTTGAGTAAATTACTTCTGGGTAGGGATGTTCATTTTAACCGGTTAACCGTTAACCGACCGTGAAGAATTTTGACCGATTAATGCAATCAGTTAAACGGTTTAAAAAGTAATTTATTTATTTATTTTTAGTAATTTATCAAAATATTTAAAAAGGTTTGTTGCATGTTTGAAATACGCTATGCGTATAAAAAAAAAATTGTACATAAGTCGCCTCTAAGTCGCATTTTATTATTTCATTCAGAAATAGGCCTAATACCGACACGAAATGTTTACAAACATTATAATAAACACTGTAAACATAGCTAGGCTATTTTAGTTCCCCTCACTCCACAACAAATCCTTTCAATTAAATGTATTTAGAAAAGAACAGTAATTAAAAATATAAGAAGCTATAGCTAAATGACAAGCCAAATTCAAACGATTCTAAAACAAATTCATTTAGGCTAAAACGAAACTGAAACCAATGTTGCGTCTCTCATTCGACACAAAATCAAATGTTTCCATATCCGCAATGTATTTGAATGCCAAAATATTATTTATTATGTAGCCTATTTCACTCGCGTTCCAATATCCACGTAAAACAAAATGGTTTGCATAACATCATTCACGGCGGTGCAGTGATAACACTTAACAGCACATATTTTACTACATATTTAAACTGAGCAGTGTGTTTTTTCCATATTGACTGACTGTATTTTATTGTGATAATGAGCAGGCTGCATTGTCAAGGTAGCAATGCTTAACTGTGTGCGTGCATGCGGCGCCGGCGCAATCACTTGAATTTTTTCCTTCTAACAGTGGAAGGAACTACTCCTTTTAGTCATAAAGATAATCGGAATTGTAAAAGGTTTGCCTTTATTTGTGTACATTCACAATAAAAACAAATCTTTGTGCTTTTGTAAAATAAGCCTAAAGAAAAATAGGATGCCGCTTTCTGCTGTCTGTTTCCTTTCACGCAGCACAAAAATGAACTGAAACTCTGCGTACTAGGCTACTTGTTGCACAGTTTTTGTTTCGGTTTCTTAATTTATTAAGTAAAAATATATTTCTCGTATAGGCCTATTTATCGTTTTATATATATAGGCCTATAGCCTAGCTTTATTATGTTTTTCTTCTCTGCAGAAGCGCTGCAGGTGCGTGATGTGATATGATGACCATGGGAATCCTCATGTTCTGTTGTTTGCTGCTTTTTGCGAATGTTAAATTAATCCCCGGGAAACAAATGTTAGTATTTTTTAATGGGTCACAGACACGTATCCTTTCTAATTTAATTAAATTCGAATTTAAAATAATCTTGTCGGTTAACGGTTAATAATCGGTTAACGAGCGTCGGTTGTCGGTTAGGAAAAATAACCGAAATGAACATTCTGGGTAAACTACTGCTGAACTTGGCAATGGTTTTCAAACTTCTTTCAAAGTTTTTGATGCTAGAAACATCTTTAAACAACTTTCAAGTTTGTTCAAGACAGCCACTTTGATATTCAGTTGGGATTTTATAAGCTTGTATTGAGTAGTTGGCGTAACCAGCTGAATTGCATTTGCACATTCATTACAGTACATCTCCAGCGTGATCAGATTTAATCACATGATTCTCTGCAGTCCAGTTCTCTGAATGCATTTCTTTCCTTTCTAGTGCGGAGGCCTCTCCTGCGGAATGCTGTCAGCATGCCAATGTTCTGGAGGACACACAGTTTGTGGATGGTTATAAAACACTGGGCTTTCAGGAGAGCATCTATGGGGAGTTCTTGGGCCGCTTCAGGGAGAACCCACGATTGGTGGCATCTTGTCTGGTGGCAGGTGAAAGACTCAGTCATGAACACACGCAGGGGGTCATACACACAGTCTTCACCTCCCTCTATGGCAACTGCATCATGCAAGAGGATGAATGCTACCTGCTGCAGGTACATAAGATATATGCGTGTAGTGGTAGAAATAGAATTTTTAAAATATTATTTTATTTATTATAGTATATCATTTTGGGCATATTTATTATTATTAGTGCTGTCAATCGATTGAAAAAAATTAACTACTTAATCACACATTTTTTTCTGAAATTAATCGTGATTAATCTCATTTAACATTAAAGTTTTTTAATATAATTTAATATTGCAATAATTTCACATGAAATCTTCAAATTAATGTAGAAACAACACAAAGACAGTGTATTTTTAAGTATTTGTGTAGTGGGATCTTTTTTATGACTGAAGGCGAGTGTCACTGATACCAATACTGATGTATCTATGAAATAGATTTTTTCCCCCTTAATATTTAATCATTGATTATAGCCATTCAACATTACAAAATAAATGAGAGCTATCAATTTGAACATTTATTAGACTTAAAAAAAAATAACAACTTATAATTTAGCTTGAAACAATCTTCACATAAACCCATTATAATAAATGTCATATTTAGCTATCTGTGCCCTTCAGCAAGTAGGAAATATACAGAAATTCAATAAAGTTATCAGACACTAAATTCTAAATTAAATATTGATAATACTTAAAGCTACAAAAGTTATAGATTTCCTCTTTTTTTTCCTTTTGTTCTTTGATTAACAGACTTCACAGCAGCTGGGTTATTAGGTTTTTTGGCTGCTATTACTTTAAAAGCTGCCGCAGCTGAACTTGCCGCGGATCTGACATGCATTTAAATTTCTCACAACTTTTTATATATTATTGCGCTTTAATATGAAATGGTATACAGTGCGCCGGCACATTTGTGCATGCAATTGAAGAACACGTGTTACAAGCACAGTATAACGGCAGACAGGAGAGGAAAATTCATTTTACTGACATATGGCCTGACAACATCTCATCTGACCACAGTTCACTGTTGTTATACTGAAGCTGCCTCGTCACCTGTACAGTTTCCGTGCTCGTTTGACTAGCGCTTGGCGCTGAGGCAAAGTTAAAGCGCATGTCTGAAAAGTCTCCTTTTTGATGTGGTCGTAAAGACGTTCTGCGTCTAAATAAACGCAATCCTTCAACCCTAGGCTCCGCCCCTGCGTTAACTGAGTTAAATATTTTTAACGCCATTAAACTGGAAAAATTAATCACCTGCGTTAACGTGCTAATTTTGACAGCACTAATTATTAAATATAATATTTATTTAATTTATTTGTTTTATTGATTATTTTATATATATTTATTTATTTTTAATTTTACTTCTTAAGTATTAGTCGGGGATAGGCAACGTCGGTCCTGGAGTGCCGCTGTCCTGCAGAGTTTAGCTACAACTGTTATCTAACACACCATAACAAGCTAATCAAGGTCTTCAGAATTACTAGGGCTACAGGCAGGTGAGTTTTTTTTTTCAGGGTTGGAGCTAAACTTTGCAGGACATCGGCACTCCATGACCGACGTTGCCTATCTCTGGATTATTTATAACACATACCACATTGTGCTGTCCTACTTTGTCCAGGTGCTACGTTATTTGGTGGAATTTGAGCTGAAGGAAAGTGACAACCCTCGTCGTCTGTTACGGCGAGGCACGTGTGCCTTCAGCATCCTCTTCAAACTCTTCTCTGAGGGCCTGTATTCAGCTAAGCTTTTCCTCACTGCAACCCTCCACGAGCCCATCATGCAATTGCTGGTGGAGGACGAGGACCATCTAGAGACAGATCCAGGCAAACTGATAGAGCGCTTTACCCCGGCCCAGCAGCAGCGTCTGTTTGGGGAGAAAGGCACCGATGAGTACCGCAGGAAAGTTCAGGCAGCAGTGGAGGCCAACGAGGCCAAGCTGGTAGCCCTGGTCAATACCTTTATTGGCTACCTGAAGCAGAACACCTATTGCTTCCCACAGAGCCTGCACTGGATTGTGTCTCAAATGTATAAGACGCTGGCACGGGTGGAGAGGTTAGAGGTCGGGGAGGTGAGGACGATGTGCACCGACTTGCTGCTCACCTGCTTCATCTGTCCAGCCATCGTCAACCCTGAACAGTACGGCATCATCTCAGATGCACCCATCAATGAGGTGGCACGTTTCAACCTCATGCAGGTAGAGGATAATGTTGTTGCATCAGTATATTACAAAACAACTGTAATGTGAGGGTCTTTCTTCAACTGCTGACAGTAGAATGTACACAGTTTTATTTGTACTTAAATATATAGCATTACTAAACATTAAAATATTCATCCAAACAATATATTTAAAAAAATACTATTACTGTAACTTGAACTAGGCCTACAATTGTTGCATGAAGAACCAGTCAGCAATTTTAATATTTTAAATATATTATATATTATTACTAATTATTATATTATAATATCATTTTATTAAGTCCACAAACCATATTTTTTACAGTATGGTATATAGAGGGTTATGTATAGAGCAGAGTACTGTTTTCAGTTTGCTTCAAGTTCTGATTCTGAAGTTATGACTTGCAGTTCAGTGAGTCAAATTTTAGTTCATTAAAATACCCAAATTATAAGAATCATTTGTTCATAAATTGTACTGTGATTATGTTTGCTGTTCCATATGACCAGCATGGGTGACACTATAGAAAGACATCTAGCCATATAAGTCAATAAAAGCCTTTTCCTGACGCAAATATTTAGTGTGGTTCATGTCTGGCTGTGATATTAATATATTCTAAAAAATAAAACCTAATTTGATGTTTTAGGTGGGGCAGTTGTTGCAGCAGTTAGCCATGTCTGATGCAGATGATGGAGATCCTCGACGTAAAAGCAGCTTATCCAAGTTTGATAAGGCAAGAGACAAACCCAGAATTCCGAAGCTCCTTTTTTCTGATTATCTTTTTTTATCTCGTCACTATATGAATATTAACATAGACTATTGGCGTATTGCATACTGGCCAGTTTACAATGTAATATGATAACAATAGCAACATTTCAGTAGTGGAAACCAACCAACACCAGTGAAATTTCATGATTCTTAATACAATTTGACCACAAAATGTAATATGCTATTGAACATACTCCTTTCTTTTAAAGGTTAAATCATATTTTAGTAAATGTCATCTGGGTATTCCATACATACAGCATATTAACATACTGCACAAAGTACATTGTGCGTATTACACAAACCGTATTAGTAGTATGCTATTCCAGTCATAACCAGGAAATGTTAAATGGTTCATTAACATGTTCCAACACTCTTTTTGAGGATTGACTCATTGATTTTAAATTTTTTTAGACGTGTGTTGCTGCCTTTTTGGATGTCGTCATCGGTGGAAGAGCTGTCGAGACTCCACCTATGTCATCAATGAATTTACTGGAGGGCCTCACACGGACGGTGTTTTACATGACTCACAATCAACTTTTAGCTCTGGTATGTAATGTAGTGAAGAAAGAGATGTGTGGAAGGAAGTTAAAGGGATAGTTCACCCAAAAATGAAAATTCTGTCATTAACCACGATCAACGCACAGAAACGTAACAAGGACATTGATCGTGGTAATATCCTTGCTGTCTATGGGAAGGTCATAGAGCTCTCGGATTCCATCAAAAATATCTTAATTTGTGTTCCGAAGATGAACGAAGTGCTTACGGGTTTGGGACGACATGAGGGTGAGTGATTAATGACAGAATTTTCATTTTTGGGTGAACTTAACTAACCCTTTAACTTCATCTGAGTTGTATGATTACATCATCAGAAGTACAAATGAGCTTAATGGGTTGTTCACATGGTCACAGTGAAATCACATCCCTCTAAAATATTGGTCTGCAGTTTCGTAATAAGTTGCACTATGACTTATATGAGAATTCCTTTGCAGTTTCACATCCTTTGCCTGCCTGACATGTTAAGGCTTCATGAAAATGTTTATAGTTTGAACTAGGGCTGTGCAAAAAATCGAATGCGATTTTCATGCGCATCTCGTCAGTAAAGCGCTTCTGTGATTAGTAGTAAATCTCCAGCACATGCTTTCAGATGGAGCGCCATTTACTACACAGAGCCGTAGTTCACTGACAAGCTACGCAAAATCACGTTGGCAATGAATCACCTGCGATTTTGGACGCGATTTTGCGTAGCTTGTCAGTGAACTACGGCTCTTGTGTAGTAAATGCAGAAACGGCTTTACTGACGAGATGCGCATGAAAATCGCATTCAATTTTTTGCACAGTCCTAGTTTGAATATTTTCTGAACAGTTTAGCAGACAGTGGGATGTCCTAAACATTGTCATATTCACAAACTAGTCTACCTTCAGTAAACTAGGACTGTCCATTTAAATTGTAATTTACTACAATTATAGAAAATCTAATGTGATACTAAAATGAACACGTTTAATCACCTGCATGTGAATCAGCACACAAAAACGTTACCACTAAGACGGATTGATTGCACAATGGATTACTGTGGACTGTAGGCCTGTGACAGGCTTATGCTAATTATATGATGATAAAGCAAACTTCTAAAGACACTTTTTGTGATGTCAATTCAAAGACATTAGATTATTGTAGCAGGATTGAGTTTTCTTCATTTGAGAGCTTTTATGTAATATTGCTGTTCAATAATTTGCAGTTAATTTAATTCATCACTGTGTCATGTAATTAATTTAACATGAATAATCACTTTTTATTAATTTGACAGCCCCAATCAAAACATATCTCAGCGCTTTTACTGTACTTAGCTGTTAAACAAGATTCAGATCAATGAAAAATGACTCGTCTACCTCACCCTCTTTCAAACCTCAGCAGAACATGTCTAAACCCATCCCATTAATATAGCAGTAACAGTCATACTGCATACCTTTACAGTCCTAATGCTTTAACTCTTCCTGCCCAACATTGCCAAGAGCCAATAACCCTCCGTTTCCCTGTGTTTTTCTTCTCAGCGTGAGCAGCAAGATGTTCATCATCACACTGTCATTTACAGAGCCAATTAGCCCGACTCCTATGTTGTTATTGCATTAGACTCACTGTTTGAAATTCACTAATGATGATAGCTGAATAATGAGGCCCACCTGCTTTTAATTACCAGCACTGATTAAGAATAAGTTAAAAAATTACCTGAAGATGTAAAGAAAGCTCGTTGTACATCTTTGCAGGCCTTATTTCACTGGATATCAACTTGGAGTGATTGCTTGATGGCATGTTTGGGCCAAAGAAAAAAGAAATGTCTTTAACCTCATTTCTGTGTTCAGGTGGACTTTGTGCGTAGTGTCACTGCAGGAGATCAGCTCAGAGAAGAAGACCACCTGGCTCTGGAAACTCTACTAGCCAATGTACCTCAGTCCCGCACGACAAAGAGCAACAGCCTGGAGCTCACGCCCTTTAACACACCCCAGCTCTCCCCAGCTACCACACCCGCCAACAAGAAGAACAGACTCCCTATTGGTATTCCTTCTACATGAACTTCACCGCATGTTGATTGCTGCAGATTCTTTGGAGACTAACCCTCTGATTACAGAAAGTGCAGCCGAGTATAATTTGATTCAATAATAAATGACACTTTATTCTGGTTCTTTGAAATTGTTCAAAAAGAATTGAATCAATTATTTCATCCTACTGAGTCAGTCAAGAAGGGTATCTGACTCACTTATTGAACTGCAAGTATCATTACTTTCAGTGATGTTCATATTGAAAGTAAGTTTTGTGCACTAAGGATGTGAAACTTAAATCCGTGTTATTAGTAACTGGTTGTTTATATGATTGTGTAGTTAAGGATGCACACTCGCTATTTTTAAATAAATGATATTGTAATAATAATAATAATAATAATAAACCACATTTAGTCTCGTTTTTATTCGTCAACAATATTGCATTATACATTTAATTATAGTCATCGTCACATGACCAGCATTTTTGTTGCATCTAGTCTCGTTTTCGTCACGTGATAAAGGTTCGTTGATGACGATATTTAGTCATAATTTTCGTTGACGAAAGCAACACTACTTCCCCCATGCTTTGCCAGCGCTTGCTGTGTCTGCCGTGCATGTTCCTGCTATGCATTTTCCTTCTCGATGTAGCACATCTGGGCTGCGTTCCTTGCCTCTAGCAATATAAATGTAGCTGTAGTTGCTCAGACAAGCAAGACTATTTATGAGTGTCATACATTTTGTAAGATGTACCTGCACCTTTTCCATCATATTCCACACAAGCTGTTTTCTTCATTTGATTTGTTTGCTCTTGTTTTATCCATTCCAGTTTCAATGAATGATACAAAGTTTTTAACACATTAGAATTAGGTTTCATCAGCCATAAAAGGAATCAGTCCAATTTGTCTTTAAGCAGTCTGGAACAAAACACGTTTATCGTCTTAAAGTGTAATCTGTAAAAGCTATTTTGCCACAGTTCTCTTAAAAGTTTGTTCACTTGTATGTTATTGTTGTGATTTTTGAGCATTTGTGAGTGCTAGTTCTCATGCAGGCTTTTGCTAACACACTTAGCAGCCTTGCTGTTTCTCTAACCCTAACAGTTTGTCTCCATTCCTGCTCTTCCTCACCCAGCAGGCTCTCGCAGCCGAAGCCGAAGCCGATCTAACATGGCTCAGGAGGGTGAGACTGAAGCCAGCTCCCAGGAGTCTCTGCAGGAGGTCACACCTGAGGAAGTGCTAGTCATCTCGCTGGGAACCTCACTGCAGACCGTACCTGGGATGATGTCTGAAAACGAGGTCAGAATCTTTAGTCGACATGTCATGCTGTGAAGGTCCAATTGTAGTAGTTAACAAGTATAGTGTTATTGGAAAGTGACTGCTGTGTCTGTACGTAGGTTCTGACTCTGCATCTTGGAGACGGTGGACAAGGAGATGCCCCTGTTGATGACACCAAACTGCACGGCAAACCTGACAAAACGCTGCGCTTCTCACTCTGCAGTGACAACCTGGAGGGCATTTCTGAGGGTGTGTTTTCATCAGACAACCAGCAGATGGCTCTCTTGTACATGAGCTGTCCCATAGCCACCTAGAATCCCATAGCCAGACCTTCAGACTGACGGCTGACGGTCTGGAATCCATGGCAGCTTTCATTGGCCAAGGCCCGCCCATGAGGCCGTTTGACCGACATGTCAAACAACCAATCACAGTTCGTTTTGTTCAGCGTCACGTTTCGGGGCGTGGAAATTGTCGCCACAATAACAGACCGCTGTGTAAAACTCTCGGACGTATTGTAAAGATTCTATGCCGCGAACTTTAAATATTTCACATACTTTTGAATATCCAGCGTTTAGTTGATCCTGATAAGTGCTCGTCGTCACAGTTGTAAACACGACGGCTTTCTTCTTTCGTGAGGGGGTTTGGCGTCACGGCATCTTTGTTTTTCAGGCGGAATGTTAAAGAACGCCACACACACGTCTCCCGGAAATCCTGTATAATTCAACCAACCCGATGACGACTTCGAAACACCTGAAGTGTTTCCACTTTTGTGTGCCATATGCATCAGACGTTCAGCCGCTAATATCCACCTGACATTTTCTTTTCCATTATTACCTTTTGTAATAAAATCAAATATTTGAAAGGATTGCTAGTTTATATCTCTCTTTTTTATTATTTTATTTTATTTTTTAATTTAATTTAATAAAATTTTTCATTTAATTCATTTATTTTTTTTGTTATTTAATATTTTATTTTTTGTCTTTTCATATTTCATTTCATTTTATTTCATTTTGTTTAATTAAATGTTATATTTAATTTAATTTTATATTTAATTTAATTAAACAAATTAATTGAATTTAATTTAATTGAATTGAATTTAATTGTATTTAATTTCGTTTTATTTTAATCTAATTTATTTTAATTTAATTTAATTTCATTTCATTGTAGCCCATTTCATTTTTATGTCACGTCACATCACTTTACTTGCAGCCAGACCCTGTCATTAAGCCCAGGCATGGATATTATCTGTTGTTTTAAATTTGTTTAGTTTTTTTTGTGGGAGGACTGTTGTTGCAATAAGTGTTCTGTTGGATAATACCATCAACTAAGTTAGTAGTAGCTTGTTAGTTAATATGAATAAATGTGGCCTGTCTGCAGGGCCGTCTAACCGCTCCAATTCAGTTTCTTCTTTGGACTTGGAGGTGGAGTCTGTGTCAGAAGGAGGACCAGGGCCGTCTGGAAGCAATGGTGCAGAGGCCTTGCAGCTACTGGAACATGAACAAGGTGAATGTGTGTTAGAGTATTTCACCATCTCTAGCAACAAATATGATTTGTTGTAGAATTTTACAGTTAGAGTGGTTTAGCTTAATTATTACTCTGGGTTGTTCTTTATGTAGCCACTACACAGGATAATTTGGACGATAAGCTGCGTAAGTTTGAGATTCGGGACATGATGGGACTGACAGATGACAGGGACATTTCTGAGACGGTCAGTGAGACTTGGAGCACTGATGTCCTGGGCAGTGACTTTGATCCCAACATGGATGAGGACCGACTGCAGGAGATAGCAGGTACGATTGCATCTCTGCAAATACTGCAAATTGCAGTCATGGCTACAGTTATAATGCTATGCATTTTTTGTAGTGTGCTAGTTTCATATAGGTCATATAAAGTTCATATAACCTTTAGTAGTTTTTCCTCTCTTTGCAATTAAAATTTCACTTTCAATTTTAAAGTTGATTTTGACATTTTGTTTGGGATTCAAGAGCAAATTACACATTTGATAAATTCGAAAAATGACAGTGAGATAAGGTTCATATTGGCATAGTGGTCAGCAAATCCATTACTGCCACCTTGTGGTTAGCTGAAAAGTTGCAATTCTCAAATAAGGAGCTGAAGAAAGCAATAGATTCTGTTATTGTAATTATATTCTATAATTATGTTTTCATATTGAAGACATTCTTACAAATCAGTTGTAATTTTAGCCATTTTCTTTAATATTTGCATGACATTAAGCAACATGAAATAGTTATAAATGTATCCGTTTTTATAAGTTGATTTACACTTTCAAATTAGATTGCTATTGCAATAAAGCTCATTCAGACAAAATCTGAAAACAGTTTACAAAATATAGGGTAATGTACACTGCTGTTCAAAAGTTTGGGATAAGTAGTTCATTTTATTTTTTTAAGAATTTAAAGAAATGAATACTTTTATTCAGCAAGGATGTGTTAAATTGATAAAAATTTATAGTAAAGACTAGTGTTAGATATTTTAATATCTAACACTATCAAATTAGATATTTTCTATTGTGAAGATGCTGTTCTTTTTTTTTACTTTTTATTCATCAAAGAATCCTAAAAAAAGTATCACAGGTTCCAAAAAAAAAAAAAAGTAAGTAGCACAACTGTTTCCAATATTGATAATAAATCAGAATGATTTCTGAAGGATCATGTGACTATGTGACACTGAAGACTTCAGTAATGATGCTAAAAATTCAGCTTTGCATCACAGAAATGACACTGAAGACTGGAGTAATGGCTGATAAAAATTCAGCTTTGCATCACAGGAATAAATGATATTTTAAAGTATAATAAAGTAAACTGTTGATTTAAATTGTAATAATATTTCACAATATTGATGTTTTTTTTCTCTATTTTTAATCAAATAATCAAATAAATGCAGCCTTGAGGAGCAAAAGGTACTTCTTTAAAAAAATCTTGTTAATCCTAAACATTTGAATGGCAGTGTATTTCTTCCAACTCCCAGTCTTGGCTAAATAAATTTTGTCTCTAGTTCAACCCTTCCTAAATCAAGACTATAGGGTTAGGTTTATTGACTTGAAAACGTCAAGTGTTTGTAACTTTTCTGTACAGGAACAGAGTGATGTGCAGAACAACCTAAAACTGCTTCTCATTTAATCCCACCACATTCCATCTCTTCCTCTGTCTTTCAGTCAGTCTCTCTCCCTCCACCCCTTCTTTTCACTCTTTTCCCTTGTCTTCCGTGTGCTCTCTCTTTCTCGCCTCCCTCTCTCTGACATTCACACAGTCCCTGCAGTCTTATTGACCTTGGTTCCTTCTCATTTGCATCCTCCATTTTTCATTCCTCGGAATATGGCGTTGGGGGACTTTTCCATCATTAAGTGAATTTACAGCGATTTCCTTATGTGTTTTCTCCGAGGGATTGGGTTATGAGATACACATTAAATATCCATTAATACCTCATTATCCCACTGATAAGATTACCATGATAATGAGGCAGAAATTCTAATTGTTTCACTACTGCGGGTGCCACTCATTTAATCATGCACCTGAAAGACGGGCGGCCCAGAGCCCCTGCCTCACTCACTGTAAACAGGGCCAGCGGGGGAAAGCTCTCCTGCAGGCCCACCAAACCTGCCCTTGTGCACGTACGTATGCGTGTGTATGTGGGGAGACGTGACCTGTGGAGAGCTTCATACGGAGCGCTCATGATCTCCTCTTCCGCCCGACCATCAAACGCCCCTGCACGCATGCAAACACCCCCCGCCATGCTGGCTGTTCACTCTCCCCCTCCCCTTCCAGCACTCCATCTCCATTCTTCTGCCTTGTTAGGCGTCAGCTCCTGTTGGGAGTGTTTCGGAGAGAGGAGGCGCTGTGTGGGATGCTGGTTGAGAGAATAATGAGGTTATGAGTGATGCTTGGCTCGATCCACACTTCAAAGTCACAACCCTGATGATACCACGGACGCGTGTCTGCGTCTGTGTGTGAGGAGGGAGGCTGCAATTAACCTTTGGCCATCTCTGTCACAGTCCGCCTACCTGCTGCTTTAGATCACAGACGCCTCATACCCATGTGCTTCTTATGTGTGTGTGTTCTCCTCAGGGGCTGCGGCGGAGAACGCCTTGGGCAGCTTGCTGTGTCTGCCGGTGCTGCTGGACCCGTACGGTTCTACCATCTCTGAGACGACGAGCGAGGCGTGGAGCGTGGAGGTTCTGCCGAGTGACTCAGGTGAGAGCTGAACCCATACAAGGATGGTTCAGTTTGAAGCTTCAGGTTAGAGTGTTAGTATTCAGATTTGGCTTTACTAAATGGAGTCATGAAACTCTTTAATAAATGTAGCTCTGTTCCTGGCTGCTGGGAAATACAGCGTTCCAGCCATGCTAAAATACACAATTTAGTAACACAAAACTGCTGATATCACTCGTCCAAAGATGGCATTTCTTAAACTTATTATACCTGTGTGTGTATAAGACTATAGCTTACAGTGGAGGGTTTCCCAAGCATCCCCTGTGATCTGAAATATTAACCTAAAGTGTCCCTTGAGAACCTGCCAATAAACCTGTCAACTAATTTTTATAGGATTTTATGAACGTAAATTAACCATTTTTAATCATTTTTACTTTTAATTTTATACACACATTTTAAACTATTGAAGTGTTTTTTTATATAATTTTTTTGCATTTCTGTCACAATTTCTGGTATGAAAACATGAATCAAGTTTGAGACATCATTCAAGAATGAATCAAGTGGGGCAAAAAAAAGAAAACATAATTTGTATCAAAGCATTGGATCTGTGCTTTGGGACTTGAAGTGTCAATGCAGCCTGATTATTATTATTATTGTTATTATTTATAATAATACTAATAATAATGTTAAAGATATAAAAATTATATTAAAAATAATAAAATAATATTATTATTTATAAAACAATGCAGCCTGATTAATAATAATGATATTAAATAATAAATATATTTTTTTAAATTGACATCACTCACTGCTCTTTTTTCTGCATTACTGACCATTTACTTGAATAAACACTTTATTTATATTTACCATTGTTTTAGATCAGTTTGATAATTAACATAATTAACATTTAACTTATATGCATAATTAACATAATTAACATTTAACTTTTTTTTTATTAAACCAATGTGTTAAGTAGCATATAAGTTTTTGTTGTATCAGGAATTTTTTTAAATTTAAATAATATTGTTGGTATCCATTACTGAAATTTGGTTGTTGTGACAACCCCTAATGATAATCCTATAAACAGGGCTGATTATGTTATGAATCATGCAGTTGTGAATAAGAAATGTAAAACCAGACTGTGCCAGTAGCAGGCATACGGCAGTCTGTGTGTGGTCTTGTCTCCCTGCCCGTTTTGTATCACAAACACTAGAAAGAGAGAATGAGTTATTGTTTTTTCCTTTGCTGGGGTTTGTTTCAGTTCTAGGCAGTGGAAAAGTAGACTCCGAAGACCAATTGAGACCTGCATTATTACAAATGAGTACGTAAATGAGAGCCCTCCACGGGGATGCCCTGGGTGTCTTTATGTGTGTGTGGATACGCCGTTTTCTACAGTTAATGAATCTGTGTTGCAGAAGCTGCAGACCTGAAGCAGGAGGAACGATTGCAGGAGCTGGAGAGCTGCTCGGCTGTGGGTAGTACTTCAGACGACACCGAGGTCAGAGAGGTCAGCTCCCGACCCAGCACCCCGGGGCTCAGTGTTGTTTCAGGTACACATACACAAGAACCTAACTGTCTAAATGCATTCAAATGAGCAATCGCTGTCAGTCTGGAATCGCAGAATTGTGCAAAAGTCAACTTGCAGAATTCAACAATCCAAAGGTTTTAACATCTTGCTTGTCACATTTGAATGTTATTCTCTGCCTCGCCGAGTTCTTTATTCAGCGACTCTTCTTCCCTGACATGCTGATGAAGACGAATAGCCATGTAACACAACGGCAAACTCCTTGTGGGGAGTTTTCCCTGAGGACTTCGGCAGATGGATCGCCTTTCCCTTCCTCCTTCGTTCATTCTTGCCATTTCCATATCTCGTTCACCTAATCTGACCTCCCTGGGGATTCTCCTGCCCTCTTTGTGTGCTCAAGGGAGCATTGGCATGGTTTTTTCGCTTCCATGAAGAGCTTGAAATGAGATTGGCTGTTCAACATGGCCACCACTCCATCATTACACGCTATACTTTTGCTTACTCTCTGAACTATTCTGTAGATCTGAGAGATATATGCACAGTCAAACTTTAGGCTCGTTTTGCTAAGGCAGCAGAACAGAGTGTTTTTTTTTTGTCATTTGTTCCTTGTATCAAAGGTAGTATGTCATGAAAAGTTTCCTCTTTGATAAACCAGACTACTTCACAGCTCTATAGGTAATATGTTTCCTTCTGTGATTTATAGTTGGAGGTTTTGCTGATTTGTTACATATTGTTTGTGCAGGCATCAGTGCCACGTCAGAGGACATCCCCAATAAGATTGAAGACCTACGCTCAGAGTGCAGCTCAGATTTTGGAGGCAAAGACTCCGTGACCAGTCCAGATGGAGAGGACTCTGCTCATGGTACAAACACACACAATCAAGTGACTGATTGAGCACACACACACACACACACACTCACACTCACTCACTCACTCACTCACTCACTCATTACTTAAAGATGCACCAAGAAAGTTTCACTCCTTAAGATATGAACTGATACGAGATGTTTTGTGGTGCATAACACAAGTAGAGTCTCATTGTGGCAGCCAAGATGTCAAGGTGTGGCTGGTTAGCATGGCTGTTATCCCTTGCTGGTAGATGATTCAACTTCAGTGAAACGCAAATCAGACAACCTTTGCCAAAATGTGTCAGTTAGGGCTGTGTATCACCAGCAAAGTCACGATACGATACGTATCGTTAATAGAGAAACGCGGCAAAACGGTGGTAATTCATACATACACAGCCCCTCTCTCTCTCTCTGTCGTAAATGAACAGTTGATGAATTACACTTTTCTGAGAATAGACTTGAAGTGGAGATCGCTAAACTGCAATCTAACCACTGTTTTCAGAAAGCAAGGGCGTTTATCCAGAGTGGAGAGAGCACGTGCACATGTTTGCCAGGTTGACAAAGATAAGTAACACATTTAGCAGATATTTCCGTATTGCGCAAGTGTGAAGCTCTGTTTTGGGGATTATGTCTCTTTATATCAGGCAACCCAGTTGTGTTCCTCTGCGGCCAGATTAAACCTTGTTGTAGCCTATATATGCTCTATTCATTATTTTGTAGAAACCTCGCAATTTTCTACTCAATTTTAAACGTTGTAAAATTTTAAACAAATTAAGCGCGGTGCACTGCTGCACACGTGCCACAATATCGATACAGGGCCAGCTGTATCGATACTCGTATCGTCAAATCTCTGTGACGATACATCGTCGTATCAATATTTTGAACACAGCACTAATGTCAGTACCATTTCTCATATCAGCTGATATTAGTGATTTTTTTTTAATTTTTTATATATTTGACATTATATATACATTTTCACTACCTTTCAAAAGTTTGGGGTCAGTAAGTTTTTGGAAATAAGTGTTTATTCAGCAAGGATGCATTAAATTCAAAAGTGAATAAAGTCTTGTATAATGTTACAGAAGATTTCTGTTTCAAATAAATGCTGTTTACACTGAAGACTGAAGTAATGGCTCCTGAATATTCAGCTGTGCCATCACAGGAATAAATAGCATTTTAAAATATATTAAAATAGAAAACGGTTATTTTATATTGTTAAAATATTTCACAATATTACTGTTTTACTGTACTTTGAACAAATAAATGCAGCCTTGGTGAGCATTAGGGACTTCTTTCAAAAACATAAAAAATTGTTAATGTTATTGTCTATAACATTTTATATAACTACTGGCTCTTCTTTATCGCTCAGGATTTTAATATCAGTGCATCTGTATTTTTCCAGTGAATGTCTGCTTATGTTGCAGACCAGTTGATGGAAAATGGGTAGCAGAGAGCATAATCCTGACATATCAGTTGCTTAAAGAATGAACATGTAATAACTTGGTGCATCTTTAAGTTTAAATTCAAATTTGTTGCGAGTTTTGTAAACACATCTATAAAAGGAGTATTTCAAACTTTTTATCTTCAGACATATGTTTTTATTCACTATTAAATCTTATCCTGCACAGCTGTTGAATATGTTTCTTGGGATTTCTGGTGTGGAACTAACATGTCCTTTGTCACTCATTTACTTCATCCCTTTATGCACCCCTCCATTCTTCCACCTCTCTAGGAGCTCACAGTCTATCCTGTGCACCCTCTCAAGCAGATTCACTGCTGGCCATGTTCGATCCCCTCTCCTCTGGAGAAGGTAATGTCACTTCCCAGCATGCACTGCTGTAGAATGCAGTACTTACACATGTAAGAGCTAGAAAGGAGTGCCATTGATGTGCCTAATGACAAGAGCCCACTAAACAGCATGTGCGCTGTGAAATAAAGCAAGCGCTTGCCAGACTTCTATCCTATTATGGCCCATTCTTGTAGAATAGAGGGTTTTTATTATGTTGGTGTTTAAAGGCTAAATTTGATTTGTGTCTGTCTAAGCCTACAAATCTACAATGGAAAGTTGCATAAATGTGTTGGAGAGACATTGTGAGAATACGTGTGTGTGGGGCAAGGTGAGGGGATGACAGGTTGCTAGACCTCACTGCAAGCGTTTTGGCTCAGTGGCCTGTCCCTACTGAGCTAGTGGCACAGGGCTGGCATTGGAAGGCACACAGCAGAGATGCTGTACCCTTGGAACAGGTGGCCTACTTTCACCTGAGGTCTGTCTGACTCTGACAGCTCTCTCAAGCTCTCTCTCTCTCACAAACACACACACACACAAACACACACACACACACACACTCCTGCTGACGGTGTGCATGCAACTTTTTTTTTATGAATGCCAGTTGAACAGAAGTCATGTCACGACCCTGGCTCTAGTTTTGTTTGTCAAGAACTGGAGGTTTCGTTGCAAATATTAATATGCATAAACGTTTTTCTCACAGGTATAGAGTTTAGCCAGTGACCTGATTTAAATACATAGGCAAAGACCCTCTAAATTTGGGTCAAATGGCTTTGCAGATTCGTCCACTGGCACCATCGTGCGACCCAAGGTACACTATCCCCGGCCCCCTCACCCTCCTCCTGACCCCCCCATTCCAGAGGCCAGCATAATGGGCCACCAGGAGCCTCGTCCACCCCTCTTCGCCCCCCACCTGGCGCAGAGTGACCTGGAGCATCCCAAGCAGAGGCACTCTTACCCTGAAAGGCTGGTCAGGAGCCGCAGCACAGATGTGGTGTCCGCTGGCCGCAGACCCAACAGTGATCCCGGACTGAACCGCAAGACCATGATGGAGGAGAGAGAACCGGCTGGGACTTATTCCACAGGACCCACCTCCTCTCCCAGCAAGGATTCACTCAAAGGAGAGGTGAGAAATATGGATTTATCAGTTTTGTGTAATCAGTATTATATATCTATACTTGCTCTACTGTATAAATATTAATGCAATTTAAAATAACTGTTTTCTATTTCAATATAATAATTAAAATTATTATAATTTATTACTGTGATGCAAAGCTGAATTTTCAGAAGCCATTACTCCAGTGTTCAATGTCACATGACCCTTCAGAAGTCGTTCTAATATGCTGATTTGCTGCTCAGGAAATATTTATTATTATTATTATTATCAGTATTTAAAACAGTTGTGCTACTTAATATTTTTGTGAAAACAATGATTTAAAAAAAAAAAGAATTTAAAGTTCAAAAGAACAGCATATTTTTGAATTAGATATTTTTTGTAACAGTATACATTCTTTGCTCTCTTTCTTTCTTTCTTTCTTTCTTTTAAAAATATAATTAGAATTAAATGAGGACTAAAAAAAAAAACTTTGTAAAATTGTAATTTCTGAGAAAAAAAATCTCTAAATCTACTCAACTGTTACATAAACTGAAACTTAAATACATTTTTTATTTTTTTATTTTAGATGTTTTTTTCTTCATTCAGGGTTCAAGTAAACTGAGGTCAAGTAATTGACAGAATGTAAATGTTTGAGTGAACTACTTCCTTAAATGATCATGTTTTTGTATGTGTTCAGTCTGAGGACAGAAAGGACAGCGATGATGAGAAGTCTGATAGGAACAGACCCTGGTGGAAGAAGCGCTTTGTTCCTGCCATTCCTAAAGGTGAGGAGCCCAACTCTTATACCCTGAAGGTTTTTGTAATGAGTACATGCCTGCTTTCATCCTGTGGATCAGTGGTCAATGGCTTGAAAATTGCGTTTAAATATGGAAATAGTTGGCATAGAAAAAAGTAGTATTCTGTTTGAATGGGGGGAGGGGCATATTTGATGAGTGCTGATAATATCTGCTTCTGTTATTGTATATAAAATTGAAAACTTTAATATTGGCTAATACTGATATGGTCACTGCTCTAATGTGCATTCCTACAACTATAAGACTTCTTTAAATGTGCAAAACTTTAAATGTGTACTCGGATTGTTGCATTTCTGAATGTGAATCAGTGTTTCTAATTGGAGAAGAAATTGTCTTTGTGATTTTCTTCTTTAATTTATTATTCTTTTTAAAAATCAAATGTTTTCTATTGGCTGTTCTTTTCTTTCAGATGTTAGACTATTAAACACGAAAGATGTGTTTTGCATGGAATTGCCTTGTATGATTAAATGTTTGGGGTATAAATTATATATTCTATTTTATACATATTTTCAATCTTTTTTGATGAATATAAAGTTCAAAAGAACAGCATTTATTTGAAAAATAGAAATCTATTGTAACCTTATAAATGTCTTTTCTGTCGCTTTTGATCAATTTAATGAAAAACTAAAAAACAAAACTCCCAAATGCAACTCGATTCGGTCTAACTTTCTGATGCCCCTTAGCAATTAGCATTTAGCATGGCTTGGGTTTGTGTTTGTGAAGCCCAACCCTGTCTGTTGCTGTCTGTGTTCCTCACACAGTGCTCTATTGGACTGCAGAGGGTGAACTCCCAGGTAACCCACTCTTCAAGCTCTCTCCCACTCAGTCTAGTGCTGTACACTAGCAGCCCGAATATTTGCTAGCTCCTGTAGACTTCTCCTCACCACTACGTGACGGCTCGAGCTGTGACGTGACACAGTCAAGCTTCATCTTTTCCTTCATGCAGCCATCTTGGTTTTCCATCATTTATTTTGCAGTGGTTGAACTCTAAATAAGGATTTTGCTCAAATATACACTTGAAAAAGATGTATAATTTTCTGTAGGGATATACAAACGACCTACTTTGGTATCAAGTCAAAACTAAAATGAATAATCATTTAGAAAGTTAAATACTTTATTAAATTAAAAAGAACAAGATTGTTTACTAGCATATAACTTTTTGTTGTGGAATCAAAATTAGTGTTGAGAGCCGAGATATTTTACTGTTCTTGGTAACTATTGAAATTTTGGAATCGGGACCTCAATTTTCATAGACTTTTCATATTAAGACAATCTCATCAGTTTGTTTTCGCACACAGCCTTCACATGCGCATACACATGACATTCTGCAGCACAGAGGCCCACATCTGTGTGTTTGCACTTTAGTAGTGACGTGCTTGTTTTATTTCCCCGTTACTGAATATTTGGTAGTGGCTCAAAAGCATTCAAAGCATGTTCGTCCATTTGGTACAGTGGACCGGAGAGGGTCCGTGTCTTGAGGTTTGCCTTGTAGGAGCACAGCTGCAGCGTTGTGTGATTTTTATAATTTTTTTTTTTTTGTGAGAATAACTGTTCCTGTTCATTTTTGCAGTGCCGATCGGGGGGCTGCGAAAGCGAGACAAGCCGGAAAAAGACGAGCAAGGAGCAGAGAGGGTACCACAAGGTCTGCTTTCATTAAACTCTTATCAAACACTCACTGCAGCAACTGTCCAAGCTGATCACTTGTGTATGCATCTCAGGTATACCAGATGAGCCTTCAGCATTCAGGCAGAGCTCTAAGACCCAGTCAGCAGAGGCAATAATGGACAAGTACAAGTACATCATGGAGAAACGACCCACCCACAGTGATGGGGCAGTTTCTGGAACTTATGTTGGACAAGGTTTGTCATATGATAATTAGGCTTGCCGCGATAGACTGAGCTGACGGTGATACCGTTGTTAAGCCGCATTCAAACGAACAATTGCTTTACGCCGAATTGCCGCTATTTGAAAGTGAAAGTAAAATGTGCACGCTGCTTTTACAAACTATTTAAAAGTGAAGGAAAGCGAGGAAAAGAGGGAACGCCCCCACCCCCGCCCCCACGGTGATACCGGTATTTCCAGTGTTGTCACACGTCGATTAACCGGTGGGAAAATTTCCTCACCGTCACAACCCTAATGATAATATTCATACTTTATGTAGAAACTGTAGAAACACTCTCTTTCTTCAGTATTGTGGAGTAAATAACTAAAAAGTAGTTATGCTTCTAACATTTTATAGTAGTCTGGTACAGACATTGTCCCCTCATGTGTAGCATTGTCCAATTCATTTTAGTGAACTGGTTTGTGCAGATAGTTCATGTAAATATATCAAGCATGAATCACATGAATTCACAGATTTTGACAAAAAGGATTTGTTTTATAAGACCTTTTTTTTAAATTTTTTTTTAAGTGAAACTATTTTTCACAAATAATATTTTATAGAGTTTATAGAGTATATACACACAGAATTGTTTACTCTGTTTTTTTTTTTTTATCCAAGTTCAATTTTATTAAATGATTTATTTATTGTATTTATTTATTCAGTGTTAAATCTGTGTCTGGCATTAAATAGCCTGTGAAGCTGATATGGCATAAACTTCAATACAACAAGAATAATTTACAGATTGATCAGCGAATCAGTGTGTAGAATTTTCTCATTATTTTGTAGTAAAATACATTAGGCTTAGTCTTTTTTTGACTATTATATGAAATGCAATACGAAAATAAAATAGCTTTTGTTAGCAACTTATATTGTTTGGAACAGCACTGGAAATAGTTGCAGTAATTCCAGTAAACTATTCCTTTAACTACTTTCAGAGTAGCTTGACTACAGTTTTTAAAATAGCTTCCCCAACACTGCTTATGTTGTTTCTTACTCTCATCTGTTAGACAAAATGTATCAACGAAACAGTTTGTCGTCTGCTGTTTGTAACCGTATTGCTCCGTTTTTACAGAGCCTTGTAGAGAAGGGGACAGTGAGCATGACTCCCCTAAAGATGAAGCCCTGCAGAACATCTCTGCAGATGACCTTCCAGACTCTGCCAGTCAGACAGCGCCACCTCAGGACAAGACATTCTCCTTCAGGTGTCTCAGACAAACTAACTCTCACTCACACCAGTACATTCTGACAGTTTTAAGTCTCAGAAACCAAAATGGCAATGAACATTTAACAGAATCAGAATGAGGAGTGAATTTTGATCTAATGTGTGCATAACCGGTCTGTTGTATCTCTGCAGTGATATTAAGAAAAAGCTACGCCTGGCACTGTGCTCTGCAGATTCGGTTGTATTTCCCATCATTCCACCAGCAACAACACGTAACGGTCTCCCAGACCATGCAGATCCTGAAGGTTACTTATTATCTATATTATCTTCTATTATCTATACTTGCCTTGTACTATACTTCTTACAAAGTTGTAATATGTCTCTTTTATTTTATATAATTAAAACTATTAACTGCAATAAAAATGTGCAATTATTAGTGTTGTTAATAATAATGATAGTCATTATTATTAATACTACAATTATTTATTTTTAATTTTATTTTATGAACTATTATTACTCTTGTCGTTGTTGTTGTTATTATTTTTATGCTAGTATGCAGTCCTGTTTAAAAGGAACCTTCATCTGAACTAAAGTTTTTGTAGCTCTGTACACATGGGGTGAAAGTAGCTGTTCCGCAGGTTTTGAGGTTCAAAACGCTGTGCATTTATGTCTGGCCCGTCTCCTCTCTCTCCTCAGACAACGAGATCGTGTGCTTTCTGAAGGTGCAGCTGGCGGAGGCCATTAACCTGCAGGATAAGAACCAGATGGCTCAGATCCAGGAGACTACGCGCTGCGTCAGCCACCTCGACCCCCGCACCTGCAGAAAACTGCTTACTGCCATGGCAGAGGACTACAGGTACACACATTACTCTCTTATTCTCTCTCTCTCTCTCTCTCTCTCTCTTTTAATGTCTCCCTAACTTTGTCACATTGTTTCTCTCCTTTCCTCACTTCTTTCACACACATCTATGAATCACCGTTTAATAAAAGATTGTGCTGACATATTTTTGGGCATGACTCCATAATGAGCGCTGTGATGGTATTGTGCAATAGGAAACGGGCTCCGTACATCGCCTATCTGACACGGTGCAGGCAAGGCTTGCAGACGTCTCAGGCTCATCTGGAGCGACTCCTGCAGAGAGTGTTGAGAGATAAAGAAGTGGCCAACCGCTACTTTACCACTGTCTGTGTCCGACTGCTCCTGGAACACATGGAGTCAAAGATGCTTGACTTCATCAAAGGTCTATACACATCTCTATGAATACAAAAACTGCTTATAGTTGCACTTATGGTGTTGATTGAAGGTTCCAGTGCATTTGAGTCAGTTTGAGTCATTCTCAGAGCAGAGGTGGATATTTGTCTCATTAGAGCTGAGGTCTCAAACTTTAATTACCCGGCGGTTACTAGCTAGCTGGAGTTCTCCATTTTTACAGCTACTAATTGTATAGTTATGTATGCGTGGCTAGCCCTTTTCAGACTATAGTGACTTGTATTACACACCTATCTAAAGTACTACTCTGTAGTGTAGTGGATTAATGATGTCTGAGATTGTATTCATGAAGAACTGCAGGCTGGTTGCGGTCTCATTAATAGACCAGACACATCACAGTGCAAGTAATTTAAAAATACAGTACTGTTCAAAAGTTTGCGGTTACTTAAGAAGTGTTTTAAAGAAGCCTCTTATGTTCAGTAAGCCTGCATTTGTTTGATCAGAAATACAGTAAAAACAGTAATATTGTGAAAAAATATTACAATTTAAAATAAGTAAAAAAAAATGGAATATACATTAGAATGGAATTTATTCTTATAAGGGCGAAGCTGAATTTTCTGCAGCCATTACTCCTGTCTTATTATTATTATTATCAATGATGAAAACATTTGTTCTGCTTAATACTTTGTGGAAGCCATGATACATTTTTTTTTTCAAATGAACAGCGTTTACTTTAAATATAAATAATTTGTATCATTATGCATAGCTTTACTGTCAGTTTAGATCAATTTAGTACATCCTTGCTAAATAACATTATTTTAGTGTTAGAAAAAAATAAAAATTCTTACTGACCCCAAACTGAATGGTGTATAAAATGACTAAAATACTTGGCAGTGAATTTGCACATATGCTATTTGTACTGTAAATAAAATAATTGTATTTCCTGTGAACAGGCAAAATAAAGTGTCTGAAGCAGCTGCATCTGGTCGAAAATCTAAAATATTTTCTTAGTGCAAAATAAAATTACCCATGTGTACATTTAATTCAGCTAAATTTGAGTGGTTGTATGAAATGATAATGTGAGATCCCTGCATTTAAGTTCGACTGTCTTTGTGGTTCTGCAGCATTTCAGGGCTGCACAGCAGCTGACGATAAGACAGCAGCCGTGGAGGATTTCCTGCGTTACCTGTATGGAGCCATGGCCCACGATGCCATCTGGCAGTATGCCAGTGAAGAGCAGCTCCAGGACGCCCAGATGGCCATCGAACGCAGCGTCATGAACCGCATCTTCAAACTGGCATTCTACCCCAATCAGGATGGGGACATCCACAGAGACGAGTGAGGAAACTCATAAATCCTTCTTCCTTATTCCTGTTAATTTCCACATTGTGTCTAAACCAGATGTGATGCATGATGCAACTTCCTCTATACTAATTTGTCTGACGTTTTGTCAGTCAGACATGGTTTTTGTCTTTGTTGCGCCCACAATGATCTTATTGGACTAAAATTCTATTTATGCCTGCTTAAACTCTAAATATGTTTCAAATGCCTGTGATTGTGTTAATTTGCAAAAGAAAATGGTATATGTGGTTAATGGTATGTCTCCTTTATTCAAGGCTATTCCAGGAGCACATTCAGCGTCTGTCCAAAGTGGTGACGGCCAATCACAAAGCCCTGCAGATCCCAGAGGTAACCATTTGCACTACGTCTCAGAATATAGTTCGAAACAAAGACAGAAAAATAGCATTTAATCTTTGTGTGAATCTGTGCAGGTGTATCTGAAGGAGGCACCGTGGCCCTCAGCGCAGGCTGAGATCAGGACCATCAACGCCTATAAGACCCCACGAGATAAAGTACAGTGCATCCTGCGCATGTGCTCCACAATTATGAACCTGCTCAGCCTGGCCAATGAGGACGCTGTACCCGGGGCGGACGACTTTGTCCCTGTGCTCGTCTTTGTCCTGATTAAAGTGAGTTAAGAGACACAACCATAGAGTGATAATGCTCATAATTGCGTTAAGTGTGTTGTGCATTCTGTAACAGTACAATGATCATTTCTGATAGTTGGCACTAAGGCCCATAAGCATCGGGGTCTAAGTAATCAAATATGGCATTTAATAAAAAATATCTCTTTAGAAGTTCATTAAATAAATTCAGCTTGTTCTGTAATCGCAACTACAGTACATCCATAACACACATTGACTTTATTAAACCGCTTTAAGATGTAATGAAAAACTGCACATCCTTTCAAATACAAGCAACTTGCAGTTGCAATTTTGTAAGAGCAGGATTCATTGCTTTGTCCTTTAAAAAGATACCTAATATTTATTTGTTTTTGCCTCCCTGATGCTTAAAAACCAGCTGCACAGTTATATTTCCAATAGGGCTGGGCGATAAAAGGATAACGATAATTAGCGCATTGTAGTTTTACTTGATAAAATGATAACACAAGTTTGATACATGTTTGATATAATTTTTATGCGCCAAAAGCTGATCAAAACAATGCTATTTATTTGAATCGTTCCACACGGACCTATATCCGCTCAGCTCAAAGTTCAAATGGCAGTGCAGCGCGAGATTACTAGAGCACTGTTTACTCGCTAATAAGTGTCAGGTCATGTGACCACAGTGAAGCGCTTGAATTCAGCAAACAACACAAATGACTCGGTGATTTAAACTAGTTTACAGCCAGATGAAACCGCACTGACAAACAGGAGAAACACTGTGTGCAACGATACAGTCAGAAGGCTTTTCAATCTAAATCGCTATTATTTACAATGGATTTACTGTAGTAACTACACCATGGTATTGTGGTAGAAATGTGGGATATTCACATTGAATTTTATTAAATTATTAATGTAGACATGTTTTAAATGTATTAAAGGAGTAAGTGTTTTTTGTTATTAAGCTATAACATTTGTGCATATATACTAAATGTATTTAGACTACTGTTTTTCATACAAATACTTAGAAACCATATAGTTACATTTTTACCATGGTATTGAGGTGCTATTATGTGTGGTTTATGATAACTGTCGTTATCATGATCTAAATGTATGCTACTATGGAAGACCCATGGTTTATTTTAATAAAACTCAAACAGAATAATTAAATTTCACTATATAAAAGTGAGGTTGTTACAATTTTTACTGTTTTTGGAAATGAACATAAATTTACATCTGCATCCTATCTCAAGCTACTGTCAAATGTGCATTTCTAAGAGACAAAAAATTTAATATTATTAATACATATTGCAGCCTGAACTACAAACTGTGTTGAAGATACTTGTCAAAGTCAGGCAACTCAAACCTGTTTCATGATTTGAAACAATACCACTCATTAGAACATGCAGAAACTAAGAAAATAATTTTTCTATTAAGATATTTATTTTAAGGAAAAATGACTGGAAAATGTAAAGAACTCAAAAACGTGAAGTGTTTGTCATGTTGTGACCATAAGAGTAGTTTAAAACCACAATTAACGGTCTGCTTTCTACAACTTTCACTTAGGAGCAAAAGTCTGTCTTTAAACTTGAAATAAATAAATATTTGAAATGTCAAACGATTAATCGCATCCAAAATAAAAGTTTTTGTTTACATAATATATGTGTGTGTGCTGTGTATATTTATTATGTATATATAAAGACACACGTTTTTGTAAATATGTGTGTGTGCTGTGTATATTTATTATGTATATATAAAGACACACACATGCATGTATATATTTATGAAAAATATGTTTTGTTTATATATTAAATATATTTATATATGATATAAATTATATGAATATACATTTAAATACATGTAAATATTTTCAAAATATATGAGGTATGTGTGTGTATTTATATATACATAATAAATATACACAGTACACACACATATATTATGTAAACAAAAACATTTATTTTGGATGCGATTAATCACGATTAATTGTTTGACAGCACTCATTTGAAATTTATCATGATAATTATCAATATCGTGAATTTTTTTGGCCATACCGCCCAGCCCTAATTTCCAATATTTGCTGATACGATAAATTAAAATATATATTTTTAAATGACATTATTTAAAAAAAAAAAAAGGTATGGTATTGTGCATCACTGCTTTTAAGGATAACTTTATATAAATTACCGTTTAAATTTTTTGTGGTTGGTAAGATTTTTTTTTTTTTAAGTCTGCATTTATTTGATCAACAATACAGTAAAAAAAGAACAGCTTTTTTTTTTTTTATAAAGAAATGCCTTTAATGTCGCTCTTGATCAATTTTATGCATCCTTGCTGAACAAAAGTATTAATTCCTTAAAAAAAAAAAAAAAAACTTTTGAATGCTACTTTGCTTCAAGGTTAAAACCTGTAAAGTCTTTGGAAACAAACTTAATGCACTGATACTAATACTAGAGTTTTTGTTTGCTTGATGTGTGTTATTGTGTATGTGGGAGGGTTTTTCAGTTTTCCCCACCCATACCTATTTGCATTTGCTGTGCACACGCCCACACCAGATTTTCTAAACTTGTAAGTGCGCTTGAATGTGTAAGCATGCACAATGTGGGTGGTCAGATGTTATCTCCTACGTTAATTCCCCCCTCTCGCTCGTTCTCTCCCTCCCTCCAGGCAAACCCACCCTGCCTTCTGTCCACCATTCAGTACATCAATAATTTCTACGCCAGCAGGCTGAGCGGGGAGGAGTGCTATTGGTGGATGCAGTTCACTGCCGCCGTGGAATTCATTAAAACCATCGACGATCGCAAGTGAAGCAGAACAGCCACCTGTATGGGCAGACTGTAGGAAGGAGAGCGAGAGAGAGAGAGGACAGCGCGGACAACTCTCACCTTCATCGAGAACGTCTGTATAGGTGTACATAGAGGCAAAAACACTTCAAGTTTAAATTAGATCACACATTAGATATGATCATGACAGGTTTTACTACGCTGGGGTGTTAAAGGAATAAAAACAAATAATGCGGCAGGTGGCGACATTACCACTCTCTACTGATCTCACTTATAACTCATGTCTTTTTCTGTAGTACTGGGGAGGTGCTGGGGCTTAGAATCAAATTTTATATTAAACACAGATTTAGCAAGTAATTAACTCTGTTAAAACATACCTATCGAATGAAAAAGGGACCAGGAACTACCTGCAACGATCATGTGTCGGGAAGCTTCAGAGGGGAATCCATGATTCTGTCCTCCTTGTATAAACTGCAATCTCACCCCGTTCAAATCTAACAGTCACACATCGAGTCATATCGAAGAACGCATCACTATAGATGCTGCCAGTGTATCAATGTTACAGTTTATCAAATTAATCATGCCATTATTTTAATAGGGCAGCTTGTTCTATGAATGTAAACAGGTGTTGTCATTATTGTACATTGATTCTTTCCTACGTTTCCCAGACAATTTGAAAATAAGGGCCCACATATTTATATAAAATAAAATGTATTTATTACTTAACTCCTGCATTTAATGTTTTATTATATTTACTGACTTGTTGTGAATTAGTTGTCGGGCAGATGCGCACGGTTTGGTTGAGGAAACAAGTTCTAGAAATATTCAATGCTAAAACAGGGTGTCTTCACATTAGCGGATAGAGTTGTGAATTAGTGCCTTGCTGATATTTGCAGTAACACTTGTTCTTTTAGTTTTGGTGGATTTTCTGCCACATCTCGCAGTTCTTGCGAAGTCGGATGTGTCAAAGTCAAGCCTGGCTAAACGCCACTATGCTATTAATAACAAACCTGAAATAAAAAGTACAACATGCCAAGTAGAAACACCCTAAATTTGGACAGTCAGTATGAGGATTGTTATTTGTGTTGAATAGATGGAAAATGGACTGCTGGGTCTTACACGAGAGTTATTGCTGTCGTCCCCAGAAAATATTTTTATTTAGTTTGCTACTGACCCTTTACTTGTGTTGAAATTCCATGTATTTTTTCAGAGTTCTTACTTTTGCAGGATTAAATCATTGTTATTTTTATAATGCAATTCCCAAGTAAAACTATGAGTTAGGAGGAATATTTTTGTGTAATTTGAGGTTCACGCAGAAAAAAAGTGTAGGATGTACCCTCAAAGAGACAACTTATTTACCCCTAAATGGTTCAAAGTAGTACCTTAAGTACGAACACGCACCTTTTAGGGGTAAATAAGGTGTGCATTCCAGTGACAAGCTGGTACAATTTTTGCATATTTTTTCTGACAGTGTGTTGTTTGAGTTTAGATAGCAAGGAACATTTTAACACTGTGGCATTATCAATGCTAGTGTATTGATGTTGCGGAGAATATATGTATTGATACAGGCTACCTCGTGTCATAACTCCCTAACAGCTAGCACATATTCTTCAGAACAGTTTTTGCTGTTGATATCAGTATATTATTTAAACAGGAATATAAAATATCATGCTCTGTGTGTTATCGTTAAATTATCTTTATTAGATCAGAACATCCCACTAACCTTTGCACACCAGTAGAACTAGGGCAAAAGAAATGTATCCTTAATATTTTACGTGGTTGTCAGAGTTTCCCGCTTCAAATCTGTCTTTTAATGTTACTGCTAAACATCTAAAAGCAAACGCTGGGGGCTGGGTGTTGGTCCTAAATATAGTAGATGCACTTAGAACAATTAGTTCTACCTCCGACTATGTACATAAAGGGATGAATAAAATGTAATGCATTCTTTTCCTCTAGCTTTTGTAGCCTTTAGAGCTCTGTATATACTTTTCTTTCTGATTTGAATGGTGCATGAACTCTATATCGCCGGTTGCTACCATGTATCTCTCTCTTGCACAAAGTGTAATACGAAGAGCATCAGCTACAAGACTCACTTCGCAGTGCACTTTGGAACAACATTGATATTCTGTATATTATAGCATTTATATTCTATATAAATGTTATAACAGAATATCTTTGTTTTTATTTGTTCCCTTTTAAGTGGTTAAGTTGTAATGTGATATAAAACTGAATCGCCTTTTCAACATTTTCTGTAACGTGGAATCGGGTGTTGTTGATTAAACATCTCAATATCTTGAATGGTTCAGGCTATCAGACTATTTTGGTGCTCTGTTTGTTTGCAGCGGTTGATTTTATTTATTTTTTTCCCCCTACAGCAGCAGTGTTGCATTTGGTGGCATCTGCATCTTGGTGAAAGTAGTTGCCAAAGGAATCAAAGACTGTATTTTCATGACATTCTTATACTGACGTTTTTGTGTACAAAGCCTGTCCTAACTAAAACTGTCCTAACTGCACCTTGAGGGTTATGTAACCTGTGGCAAATATTTGAAGAGGACTTGTTTCTTTTGTCTTTTTTTTTCCACCCTCATGGTTTGCTTGAGATTGAAAGGCTGGTGTTTTTGTTGTAACTGGAAGAAATAAAAGGTGACGGTCTCAATGTTCAAATATTCTAACCTAAGACTAATTGCATAATCTTTGTGATTTCCAATAGGGCCTTTTTTAATTAAAGCAGTGAGAGCGTTTGAATAAATACACTACTATTCATCTGTTCACTGTTGTAGCAGAAGCGACTCCAGCGATGATTTCTGGTGTAAACAGGGTTTTGGGGTACTGAACTGAACTGGCTATGTTGACGGAGCAAGGCATTGTACTCGATCTGTATTTAAGAGCTTTATAATCCCTAGCGTACAATGTTGGTCCACTGTTTGGAAGAGCATGCTAAGAGAATTATGGGTAATGCTTGCATTTGTAAGCTTACTCACTTGGGCTCCTGTTGGGAAGGCATTCTGTGTGTTATGTGATTTTAATATAAATCTGTACATAATTCTTACAAAAAAAAAAAAAAAGATTAAATGCAGAACATAAACTTAACAAAAAGTGTTGTCCTGACAACTAAATGAAATGC